CACTAAAAAAAAAAAAAAAAACAAACCTAGCCCCAGGCCAATTTCTCTTCTTGACAGCTTTATTAGGAACCAGCAGAAGCATGGAGTTATGTAAAGATGGAAACTTTATACATAAATATAGTTAATTACCAATCAAGTACTCACCTTAAGATTGGATTAAAAAAGAACATAAACAGATCCAACCACAGATCACATAATAACAACAGCAACAACGACCCTTTAATCTCAAACTATACTAATTAGAGTCAACTATATAAATCTCCCACACCCATTTTGCTTTATTTTAACCCGTTTCATTCCAACATATACAGATCAATAACAAGATCAAATAGTAAAATAATATATGCATGGAATTAAAAGAGAAAAAGATTAAGAACCCACCTAAAATTAAGGGACAGAAGATGAGAATCTTGAGGGAGCTGGAGAAAAAGGATATATTTTGAGTGATCTGCAAAAGAAAAGAAAGAAAAGGAAAACGAGAATGGATGATACTTAGTATTATTATCTAATAGCAGATAATTAGCAAACACAGAACAGAACTAAGGGGCTTTTCTCTCCTTAACTGTAGTGTCGGTTGGTGGATGGATCTTAATGTCAAAGTGTCCGTTAAGTTCTAATTTTTTCACTAACACTGACTTTTTTCAAATGTTATTAGTAAATTTTTACTTTAAGTTATTGTATATTATAGTACTATATTTTATATAATTTTTAAATATGTTGATTTATTTAATGATAATAACGTCCAAAAATCAAATATAATAATCCTTGTGCTCTAAATATTATCATTCTTTTTTACATTAAGGACAAAGGAATCTACTGTCTAGTGGAACATTAATCCAACAGTAAAAAACTTGAGACACTATCACTATTTAAAGAGGCATATAAGTTTTAATCAGTTATTAATTTTTTTTTATCTGATTAATTTATACTAATATTTTTTTAATGTTTACTTGGGCTCACGTGTGCATGAATGAATAATACAAGTGGATGTATCAACATAAAAAATGTGGAGCATTTTCGTGTAGTCACTCTCACAGCTTGATAAAAGACAACGAGGGACTTGATTAGTGACCAGAGATAATTTTAATGTCATTACTCTAAAAAAAGAAATTCTTTCATTTTGCTTCTATAATGCGACTACAAAAACAAATACTACAAATACTAACTAAAAAACACACTGAAAAGTCCAAAACAAAAATGGTGACAACAAAAAATCTAATCAACCAATCAACAAAAGCATCTTAGCTGCTTATGCTATCAATTACCTTGTGATATATCTATACATTTAAAGGGCAGCACAATGCACTAAGCTCCCGTTACGCGCGGGATTCGAAAAAGGGCCGAACCACAAAGGTCTATTGTACACAGCCTTACCTTGCATGTATATATCCATACATTTAAGCAAAGGAGAAATGTTCGATGTGTCCATTGACTTCTCTTTTTCCCCCTTAAGATGATAATAGTCTCTTTTTGTAAACCAAATGATCAATGTGTCATATTTCTTACAGTAATTTGTGACAAAATGAAAAAGGACGAATACAAACATACACAAAAACATACAAATAAAACCTTTTGCTAGTATACTAGTAATTATTTCAACCTAGACAATGTAGATAGAAAATCCTAGCTGCATTTGAACAACTAAGCTAACCTCTCTTGAGAAACTATATACAAAACCACTGAAAGTCTTAAATACCTCTCAAGAAACTTTTGTGGGAAAATCAATTTCGAAACTCATAAGAGCCGTAGAAATGCAAAATGTAAGACTCACTATGTAGAGATTTTATGAGTGGTAAAGAGTGAATAGATCTATTCTCCAAGGAAAACCATTGCAATTATGAAATATCGTTGGGCTGAGCATCACTCTTCATCTTCAGAATCAGAAGTGTCAACTTGCTGTCTTGAACCTTCAATTGCACCACTCACATTCCTTCGCTCAGGGCGAATAAAATCTGAAGCAAACTGGTTTGCTGATAAGAAATAAAGAAGAATAATGAAACATCTAACTGAAAAGGAA